TATCAGTGATTGATGGCCCTAAAATGATTGCTCTCACTGCGACGTTCGCGGCGATATGTAACATGTGTAGCGCAATTGTAATTTTTGCGCGCTGGGGCACCGGACGCGTATGTACGTTTATAGGCGCGTTAAACATTTTGGTTGTTTTTTTCCCCCTTTTTTATATGTGACTTTTATTTTATTTTACTTTTTTATGTTACTTTTATGTTTATTTATATTTATTTTTAATCTATCTTCTTTTTTTCAGACACAGTGCCAATATTAACCTCCACCGCAAACTGTTGACCAAAGAACTGGATGAGATGGGGCTGGACTCCTCTCAGCCCAACCTACGAGATGAGTTCTTGGCAAAGATCTATGGTGGTCATCATCCTTTGGGCCTGGATGTTAGAGAGGACACCAATTCGCCAGTCGGAACAGAGGATTCCCACATCAATGGATATGGCCGGAGCTTTTCAGAAGATTACATGGTCTTAGATTTGAGCACGACCTCCAGTGTCCAATCCAGCAGCAGTATCCATTCCTCTAGGGAGTCTGATGTGGGCAGTGATGAGGGTATACTCCTGGATGACACTGATGATGCCAGTGACATTGAGGAGTCCTCTCAAAAAATTCATGCTTCTGCCACTCTCATGGGACCAGGCAATGACATATCAGAATCTTCCTTATACAACAGCTTTGCTGTGAGCAATGGGGGAATAATGTGCAACATATGCCATAAAATGTACAGTAACAAAGGGACTCTACGAGTTCATTATAAGACAGTGCACTTGCGGGAAATGCATAAATGCAAAGTCCTAGGGTGCAACATGATGTTCTCCTCTGTACGCAGCCGAAATCGGCACAGTCAAAACCCTAATCTCCATAAAAACATTCCTTTCTCTTCTGTGGAATAGCTTTCATATGGACACTGTAAACTCCAGATTTCACAGACAACATGACTGAACTGCTTCATATTTATATATACGTACATATATAAAGAAAATGTATATGTATGTTATATATCTCTATATATAAATCTAGATATATATTCTTTTTAACAAAAAGAGAAAAAGAAAACTATGAAACACTAGGTGCTTTTTATTTTCACTTAAAGGTGAAACTGCCCTCCAGAGGACAATTGAAAAAACAAAAAAGGAAAAAAAAAAACAAAAAACATGGTCACTTACACAGATTTTGTTTTTCTTTTATGGAATGAAGTACTTGGTTATCTCCAAAGATAGTGTCTTAATATTCCAGTGACTATTGCTTGCAAGAGAAAATAATGAACAGTTGTTTTGTTTGAATTCACAAAAACACACCGTTAGGCATATTTTGAGAACACTAAGCATGGCAGATTCACCTGTATATATGGAGTCCGCTTGGGCAGACAGTATTGTATTGATGGTTGTGTACTCTTGGTTTCTTGTTGCAGTTACACCAAGCTGTATGTAGGACTAAGGGTTGCTGTCTAGGTCTGTTATTTTATTTTAGCTTTAATGCACATTTTTGCAACACAGACACCAAAACACAACCGGTTTGTAACTACCTGCTAGATGTAGTATTATCCTGGTGTTGCATGCTTACAGCACTATCAGACCATTGATTTTTTTTTCTTTAGTGTTTTGTACTATTTGTAAAAAAGCAGCCATGCACTTTTCCCCATCCAAACACTACAGTGTGTATAATGATATCCTTATTTTAACTCTTCAGTGTTGAGATCAGCATCCTTGTGGCAAAATTATACCATCTCCTGTGCTGAAGGAGCTAAAGTAATGTCGTTATCTTAAGATGTTTTGGCCTAACAGGTCTGGTCATATAAATGGCATACTTGCCAAATAAAACAAGTATTATAGGAGTTTTGCAAAATGTTATATGGTAGAACTGCCAATTTTGCACATATCACCTAAATGCAGAAAACATTTTGATGAGGTATAAGCCATATTTCATGGTCCTTTAGAAAATAAAAGCTAAATTATAATGTAACAGAAAAAATCAAATATTTAAACTGTGTTCAGAGCCAATACCACACTCCAGTGATACCTGACTATCAAACAGGGTTATTATATATTTAAGACGAATAATGACAATTCCCTTACCTCTATCATATTACGGAACAATCAGCACGTCTGTTCCTGTATTCTGCATAATTATTGCACATGTAAACGGAGGGACCACAATATGTTTTTAGTATTATTTCATGATATACATTGAACACAATGATAACAAGATTACTTTGTCTCCTATTTACAGTAGTACTCAATGAATTTCACTTGTAAACTATGTGTTTGTCCCAACACTTGATATGAAGTCTTATTTGTTCTATTGTCAGTATTATAGGGAATTATTTCTCTATGAAGATTTAAGTCAAGACACAAGAAGGATTATTTATTATTATTTACTAAATAAAGTTTGTTTAGTAAAGCAGGAAAAATGCCAATCACCTTATGCAAAGTACAGTACACCACATCAACCCATCAGATCTCTGTGTATTCTATTTCAGTAACTAAACGATTAATTTTAATTGTTTGCTATAAGTTACTACACTTTGCTTTTGTAGGTTATGGAAAGACTGCAACTGTCATATTGTAATAAAAAGCCTAGTCATGATTTGAAGGTTATGACAATTGTTTGCACAGGCTGAGGAACAAAGCCCCAGTAGGCTTCCAGGACATTCTAGGTGGTCCCTTTCTGTCCTAGCTTGTTAGGGCAAGGATAACGCTAAATCGGCTCAGCCGATCCAGATGTTGGATCGGCTGAGTCGAACTCCTTCTGCACTTCGGGTCAGCCGAACATGCTGAGCATGCCCTCGGCAGCTTTGTGAATAGACCCCATAGGTTCCTTCTTTAAAATATTAAATACACTATTTTGAAGTCAAGTGAGTCTCTTAAATGGAAGATTTCCACAATAAGTGTAGCAAGATAGGTAAATGATACAATTACATAATACTTTATTTTCATTTTTTTCAAATACAAATGCCAGATGAACTCACTAGATATTCAGGTTTGATTAGAAAAAAGTACTTTAAAAGAAAAGTATTTCTTTTAAACAATTTAGCAAATGCAAGATGCACTTCCCACTAGAGTCAGTGCATATTTTGCAGGCCATTCAGCAGTAAAGAGTTTTAATATTACATCTCAAATTTGCAAGCCCAGACCATTGTAATAAAAACATCCAGGTGGCTCCACAAACCTCCCCTGACAGGAGACGCAGCCAAAATGAATCCCTTTATGTCCATATTACCAGAAACAGGCAAAAGCAGTAGTATTGGTGTGTCAATGGCTTTATCTTGGGAATTTACACACATAGATTGGAGATCAGCTAACAATCTTCTTAGTATCTGGGTGGTCAGAAAGGCCGTGTTACCTCACTTTTGTAAAAAA